ACTAATGTAATGTGTGGTTTGGTATTTAACTGCATTTCTATTAAATTTTCTTTCAAACAAGTTTCTACAGAATTATTTACAGAACATTGTACAACGATCAGTTATATTACCAACACGTTGTGAAATAAAAATGGATATGTCCATTCTTTCAACATAGCTTTACTGAGATAGTTATCAGGAAATGTTTAACAACAAGACCTGTAAAAATGATTTAGTGTTCAAAGTATTATACACATTTTTTTTTGACAAAAAATAGTGAGCATATAGTTTTCATACCTAGTCATGAAAACTATTTATCTTCCAAAGATTATCTTGCTCTGAAGTGATATAACTGCAGGCTAGTAACATAAGGGTCCTATCGTCAATCCAACCCGAACCCCAGCCCTTGACCCCTGAAACTCCGCCCACCTGTCACCGGAAGTCCCGCCCCAGAGGGTATTACTTCTGGGGTCAAGGCAGCCACATGACTAGAAGCAAGGTGCCTCATGTGATCCCTCTAAGAACTCCTCCCACCGTCCTCTACCAATCAGGAGGGGTTTCAGCTGCTGGGGACCACCCCGAGAGGAGATTTGACCTATCAGGGCAAGTTCTGGGACAGGGTGAGCCATCTGGAAGTGGGTCGTATGACCCCTTTAAGAACTCCTCCCACTTCCCTCTACCAATCAGGGGAGGTAAGCTTTGGGGGTACGGAGCATGCCCCTAAGCCCAAGGTGATACCAGAGTGGACCCTTTCATTGAATATGTGAAAAGGGAGGTAAGCTTTGTGGGTACGGAGCATGCCCCTAAGCCCAAGCGAGACCAGAATGGCCCCTTTCATTTTTTCCACTGGCTTCCTCCTTGCTTATTTCCAATGACTTGACTGCTCATGCACCTGTCACTGGTCCAGGGATGGTTACAAAATGGGAGGGATGGGGTTTGTGGTGGAAACACTCACAATCTGCTTCCTCCTGTGCTAATGTGCCAAATTGATCTATTGCATGATTGAGGCGTGCTGTTTCACTTTTTTGTGTGTGAATCCATGAAAAGGAAGGTAAGGTTTGGGGATATGGAGCATACCTCTGAGCCCAAGGTGATACCACTTTCATTTTTTTAATTTACTCTTACAATTTGCATCATACACATATACACAAATACAGAGAATTATTTTTCAAAATAAAAAACATTATTATAATCTGGTATATACATTAAAAATGTCTTTTGGTTGCATTATGTTTTGAACAAGAGGCATTTAAACAATTTTTTATTTTTGGGGGGGTAAAGAAGTGAACTATGCACATTTTTTGCAGTTGTACTCTTTCTTCTCATCAGTCAGGTAGTCTTGATTGGTTCCTTCTGTAATGCAGGGCATATGTGCCCACCTCTTGCAAGAATCACACTGGACCTTTGATAAGTAACAATTAAGAAATGAAATCACAGAAGTTATAATGTTACACATACTTTGCATTCACTCATGCTATTCCTTCCACATGTCAGCATTACCTAACATATGTATGCTTATCAGCATGAAGAAAATGTTTACTGATGTGGAATTTTTACAAGAATCATGATCCTTAGGCAGTTTATGGCATTTATTTCTCATACAATTCTATGTTTCTTACCATCGTGCAATCCTCACTTTCCTTTTCACAGCTGACAAGGTTGCAGTATATGCAGTAGTCTTCCATGTTTTCTGAAAAATATATATAGCGTTATGAAACGATGAATACGTTATGACCAAAACTGAAAATGCAAATCTTCATTTATTAATTAATGTCAATATTTTAATCCAGTCAATGGTTTGAACGTATCTTTTTCTTTTTTGTGAATCATATTTTCTCAAATTTTTAGTTTACTGCACCTGTATCTAAAAATGCCAATTTCATTTAACTGGCCGATCAATAGCAATCATTCACCTGATTCAAATTTTTGTGTTCTTACAGATATTATTGATTCATAGTCACCATTACAGAACCAAACCTGTGAGATATCCCACTTTAGGGGTATTAAGATAACTGTCTGCTATGTGACATAATTCCACTCTTCATGTTATCTTCACATGTGCCTAATGAGACAACAGTACATGATAGAAAGTAATTACCTGACTCCTTCATTAGAAGGATT